AATTGCAAACAAAGAAATTAGTATATTATATTATGTCACCATTTCAATATCGATCACCAAGCTTCCACTTTTCTTGGTCAACGCATTTTTCTAGATTGCCATGTACCGCGCTTTTAAGTTAAAACTTGTCTTCAAAATGGCTTTTGCTGCGGAGTATAAATACAAGGGCGGGCAATTTTTTTCCCCTATACTTTGTGTTCACAAACTTATAAAATTTATTAATCGTTGAAGAAAATTTAAAGAAAATGCATTCATTGACAGGGTGGAAGGGCACGGCAAAAAAGTGGCTTGCGGGCATATCATACAAATGACCAATTAAGAGCCAAATATTTTCCCGTACGGCGCGATCTAAGGCACGCGCTATACGCCGAACGTTACGTGCCTAATACAATTTACGAAATAAATGCATGTGAGATTCGGCGTATAAATCAATTAAATTCGACAGTATTGGATTAGATACGACTTCAGTCGAATCTGCGACTTAAACAGTCGAAGATACGGCAATGGTGCGGCAGTTGATTTATGCGCCGTATCTCACATGTTCAAACTGCAATACATACATATTATTTTTCAATTGTGTGTGTGTGTGTATGGTGTTTATTTATTTTATTTTTTTTGTGGTTTGAATATATGAATGAAGAGAAGGGAAATAATGAACATAAAATGGAAGTATATAATGGGAATGGAAAGAAGAGAAGGTGAATAGAGGGATGAATAGATGGAGAAAGGAAGAGAAGAAAAACAAAGAACTTAAAGAATTTAATAACTAAATAACTGTAGAAGTAAAGGGGGGTATAAATAAAAAAATGGATAGGTGAGAATAAAAACTAAATATGTAAATAACTAAATAAAAAAATAGATAAATGGGTGTAAGCGAAAAGTGTGAGGAAACTGAAAGAAGAATGGGAGGTAAATGGCAAGGGAAATGATTGCTGACGACTGGATGTTGTAAGTGTGTGATAGTAAGAGGTGAGTGGAATAAATGAGTGGGAAAGAGATGGAGAACAATGAACATGTTGAAAAGGATAATAATGAACATGAAATTGAAAGTGTGTATGGGAATGGACAGTCGGGGAGAAGAATAAAGAGACGAAAGGATGGCGAAATGCGAGAAGGAGAAAATGAGTAAAATAGTTAGCATCGGTAATTATAAAGGGATAAAAAATTGTAACATGAAAAAGTGAGTTTTATTGTGAGTTGTTTTTTGTGGGATTGGGAATTAAATTCTTGACTTAAGATTCGGCGTCTAAATCAAATGTCGTATTTAATCATTCAAGTCGACTAAAATAGGAGTTGTATTCGGCGTATAGCGCGGGCCTAACTTACATGATCTTGAACAAAATATGTTGACAATTTTTACGCGTGCACGACATTTCTCACACTATTCGCAGATAAA